ACTAGTAGCTGTTAATGAAGTAATGTTGTTTTTATTTGAGGGTCCCATTTCATACGGGAAGATTTCAATCACTACCCCTTATAGCTCAGTTCCAAGTGTTATAGTGGCACTTGAAAACAAGGGGTATGGGTAAAAATAAGAAATGCGATTGGGCCTTAGTCTCCTAGCACACTTGTCCATATTAAACACTTCCCAAATCATTAAACATTGAATGAAGCCTCTCAGTCATTTCTTCAGGCTGTATAGTAGAATTTTGTCTCTATCCTCTCCACACTGGGAGCACATTAGCAGGAGGAGATCAATCAAAACAGCCAGATCGTGCAGGCTGATTAAAAGGGGCAACTGTAAAGGCAGCAACTGTTATAAAACATGCACAGTCAGCAGAAGTTTGATGCACAGGCTCACCTGGGCCGAAGCTCAGGGGCCCCAAGTAAAATCTCTGAGTTTTATTTTTTAAACAGAGATTTATTTATTTTTGCTCCACCCACTTATACCAATTACTATCTTCATATGCGTGTCATACATGCTCGTGACTGTTTGATTGGCTGAATTTAATCAAAATATCAGCTCTGATTCTGATTGGTGGCTGTATCATATGTATTTGACTTGTTAGAACCTACAGCAACAGGTATGAGAGCGGAGCTCAAAAAGAAAAATATGTACCTTATAAGACACTTTTATTAAAACGTTCACTATCTGTTAGTTCAACATCAGCTAGTCCACCAGTCAGCTCCCACAGCCAGAATGCCATTTACCATTAGATGTGGACTTTGAGAGACATTTTAAGAAATTGGACATTATTCCACACAAAAAGAAGAAAAGAGAACAGTAAGCTTTGATCTATGTATCGATACAGTGTAGTGATGTTTATGGTTTTACCCAGTAAACTCTACCACATAACAAGAACCACCACTACATCACGTACTCGTATAATTTTAAAGAATAACACATTTTCAAAGATCAATTTCGATGAATTTTGTGATTTATCAGGTGTCAGCTAACTTCACAAACTCCATCAATTATCCTTAACACAACAAGGATGGAGAGAAGCTACTTTGCATATTGCTGTTGTCGGGAGAAAACCTTTTTGTCGTTTTTCAGTTTTTGACATAATTTGAAAGTACCTGTTACCCTTTACGTTTGTCTAAACTTCATGATGAACGGACCAAAAGAAATGTCCAAATAATGACTTGGAAAATCTCTGGTTCCATTGACTTGCATTAAAAGTGAAGTAGGTTTTGCCTTCTCCTGTAAAGTTACCAGCAAAATCTAAAAGCATCAGTTACTATTAAAGTTTTTAGACTTTAATGACTGTTTGAATATTCGAAAATTCAGACTCGTCTGTAGAAAATAGTATGTCATATAGTGTCAGAAACCACACAGGCAACACTCCTTAAAAAGATGGTTCTTCAAAGGTTCTTTAGAAAAGGGAATGACTGTATTTAGAACCATGTGTTCTATTTATAACTAATTATGCTTAAAATTATTTGCAAGGTGGAATGGTTCTTCAGATTGATTGAGAATATGTTGTATATGGTTCTACATAGCACCAAAAAGGGTTCTTCTATTGGTACGATGTCAAGCTTGTCATTTAACATGTCATTTAATATGTTTTAATGTTTACAGTTCCTTCCACCAAATTCCTTAACAAGCAGCTTGTTGCTACGTCAGAGTAATGAACTCCGCTCACTCGCTGCACAGTCTGCTGTAAGCCACACCTTTTGAAGTTTGGACTGAGCCATAAAACTGCTGCAATATCAAGTTTAGCTCAGTTTTGTCCATTTTTGCCAGATCAGTATTAATGTTGTTTTGTTCCAGCCAGTCTGTAAAGCATCTTACAGCCCATTTAGTTTGGCGAATGGTATTGGGTTCATTTCTGGCTGATTCCACGTTGTTTAGCTGTTCTTCTCTCACAGCTGCCAACTGAAAAGCTGCTCAGTGGTGATGACAGTTTGGGAATTTAGTGTAGTCTCATCTTCAGTCTGACCAAATCGGCTGTCGGTCAAATGTGATCTTAAAAGTATTCATTTTCTGTTTGTGAGCAAAGTAAGAAATAAAAACGTTTAAATGGCTTGAGCGTCTCCTACAGCTGTCAAAGTTGTTGCTAAGCAACGGCTTCTCAGCGGAGTGATACAGTGTTTGTGAACGCTTCTCAACCAATCAGCCTGCGTGCCCGGAACTACCTGTTGTATAAATTTGATATAAAAGATGATTGTGTACATATAAATTTTCAGTATTCTTTTAAACCATATACACACACATAGATCCCATCCCAGAAACCATCCTGATTCCTGTAACATGAAAGGGGCTTTCACTAAACCCCCAACATCACAGAGTAGAGATCTCCATTAACACCCCCCCCATCCTGCCCCCAACACACATACACACACCGACGAGTGCATAGAGCCAAAGCCTTCTTGTGCATGAACATCTCCTACTGCTGCTGAAGCACGTTCTCATGCTGGTACTAACAGCAGCGCTCGCATGCAGTCCAGGTTAACAAATATTCCCGTCTCCTCTCCAAGGTCTTCTCATGAGGGGTTTACTGTCGCCTCTGGTGTGCCCCCCGCCCCATTACCGCATGCACACACACACAGCGCAACACCTCCTATCCCTGCTCTGTTGTTATGTAAAAATATGTGTTGGCTTATGTAATTGAGCACTTACATAATGGAGCGTTCTGAATTACATTTATTGATTTTTAGTATCGCAACAGCTGTGAATGATGTACTGCACTGCAGATATTTAAATGTTTTAAGCAGCCTTCAGAGAAAGGGGAGGCTGTCAGGCCGGGGCGAGAGAACGCAGCCATATTCAGCTGCAGGAATTAGCTACGATAATCTCGTCCCACTAAATATAGACGCAGATGTGGAGTCATTAAAATACATCAGAGAGAGACAGAGAGAGAAAGAGAACAAACACTGAGAAGAGAACATGGCGTCTCCGAGGTGTTTCCTGGATGTCTGCAAACAGGTTGCTTTGAAAAGGAGGCTGAGTTACGAGTCACATTACAGAGGACCAGAGGACCTGTGCAGGTATCAATCCAACTCAATTCAATTTAACTTAATTTAACTCAATTCAATCTGAACTTTGCCTCTTCAGTTTTGCACTGGAGCTATAAGGCTAATGTGGATAAGAAGTAATGGAAGCTTATGTACCTTCGTTATAATCATGCAGACTCGGTACCTGAATCATCACACATGTGCCTTAAACCACAAAAAGTTGAGTTAAATCTCAAACAGGCTTGTTTGTGTGGTTTGGACAAATAGACATTTACATCACATTGCCAAAAAACAGCGCTAGCAGAAACCTGAATTTTATTAATTTTTTAATAAATGTCATGCAGTGTCAGACAAATAAATACAGTATGAGGCAAGTGTGTGATGATTTAGGTAGGGCTGGGCAATATGACAATATGTATGGATATCATGATGAATTATATCACAATACAATATGCTTTTCTGAACACAATTGATATCATTATACGTGAGCATTGACCAACTGCCTGTTTCATTACAAAGAAAGCCAATTTAGTTCAGTTTAACTGGATTTAGTGCAAAACAGTATGTGAAATATTGACTAAAAATCATTGTATTCAGTTTTTGATAGTACATTCTACTTCTACTGGCACTTCTACTTCTTTTTTTTCTCAGTTCCAGCTGATCAGATGACTGAGAAAATAAATATTTTGACATATCGTGTATCGTGACAATTTCTTGAAGTATCGCAATGTGATATTTTTGCCATATCGCCCACCTGTAGATGTAGGTATGTGTAAGACTTTCTACACCAAAGCAACTTTACAGAAATAAGGATGCAGCCCCAAGAAGAACCAATACTCAAAAGGAAACACTCCCTAAGAACATGAAGAAGAACCACTGAGAGGAACCAAGCTTTAAAATAAAAAAAAATCCTTTATAGTGTGAGGCAGAACTACTGAGAGGAACCAAGATTCAAAACTAAAAATTCACTAAGAACCTAAAGAAGAACCACTGAGAGGAACCCATACTCAAAAGAAAACACTCACTACGTAAAAACTCACTAAGAGCATGAAGCAGAACCACTGAGACAAACCGAGACCCTGTAGTGTTATTCATCCTCCAGGTACAAGACTGCAAGTGATATTAACAGAAATTAACAGGAAACTCGGATCAACAGAGTGAAAATAAAACAATAATTAATGTTACAGCTGCACTATTCTCGATTAACCTCTAAATTCCCAGGCTTAGTACCTCCTACAGCTTATGTAGGAGTGAGGAATCAAAGCCTGAACCTGCCAGTAGCTCCTGGTATTATTAAATAGAATTTGTCATTTTTTGGCCCAGAATTGAGATCATGATTCTCATTCACTGCTTTTACAAAGAATAACATGTATACTTAATAGATCCTCGCATTGCATAGTTGGCAGTGTGTGCATAATAGCGAATATAAACTCTTCAAGCTGCTGTATGAACTTGTGGTGTTTCCTTGTGGTGCTGATACCACAGAACAGTAGGTTATTTATCATCATCTTTCTGAAAAAATTCCTAACATGAGAAGAGGAACCTTTTTTGGTACTGACACAACATTTTGATTACACAGGTTAGACAAATGTGTTCTATCCTCTTTGTCAACAAGCGATTATGATTCTGATATTCATATTTAAATTCACTCATGGTTTACCGTAAGTTGTTTCTTCCGCCTGTAGAATCACATTTCACAGAATACTTGAGGGCACATGGCACGATGTCTATGGTCACTAGCAGGGGTTACACTGGGCCAGAGTGCAGATTCTTTATTGGTCACAGTGAATAAAGGAAACAGGGGCACTATTTCTACTTCATATAATAGTCGTCTTGAGTGCAAATGCAGCAGAATCGATGCCATTCTTGATTCAGATTGCATTGAGAAATGAACCAAGATCACAGTTTTAAAGGGCTCAATAATGCAGCCCTAATTAGCGCTATAAGTATGTGTGCATTTGATAAACAGCGGTGAGGGACTGTTGGAGAAAAACGCACCTCAGTCCGTACAGCACCGTGCCGTCAGGATGCAGACGGATCATCCGGTTCTTGACAGTGACGCCGTGGACGAAAGACTTTTTGTCGTTGAGGAAGTAAGTGTCGGGCACCCACAGCTGGTCAGCTACACGGTTGTCCAGCGTCAGGTTTAGAGGAATCTCAGAATAGGAGAGGCGCTTGTCTCGCCATGCTTGCTGGAAGTACATGGTCAGAGTGTAGTCCTGCAAATAGATAAGGAAAAACAGGACATGGCCATTAGGAGCAAAGATGGTCATTAGAAACAATTAAAATGTACAGAGATAGAGCAAATAGGTACATCCCAGTAAGTTATTACACAAAATCGTTATAAATGCATGGCTTGATACCTGAGACATTGTTTTGTGATAGTTTTGTTATAAAGTTTTGGCCTAAAACATAATTTTAATATAAACTATTACTCCAGGATCACTTCCATTGCATCCTCAGCTGAGATCAATGTGTGCAAGATAACATTCTTTTGTAGTTACCAGCCTGTAGCTACAGCAATTCAACACAGCTAACACCAGTGTTAGTTCCCCCTCAAATTCACATCTCCTTTGACAAATCAGGTCAATCCAGGTCCATTCACTGCTCAAATAGCAACACTAAGCAACAATGGAGCAACGGAAAGTGAAAAGGTTCAAAAAAGGTTGTACTGCAGCTGTGCTCACCCATTTGGCGACAAACAGTACAAAAAATTTTTGTTTACTGTTTACTCGAATTGAAAATAATGTTAACCATGGAATCTCAGTTATGCCATGTTATCTTGGGTGAAAACACGTGACCGTTCAGTCTTTTTTGAACCTTTTCACTTTCCGTAGTTCCAGTATTGCTTGGCGTTGTTCAGTGAATGTGCGCGCCTGAAGACCTGGTTTGTCAAAGGGATGTGAATTTGAGGGGAAACTGAATCAGATCCAACACTGCCGCCGAAGCAGAAGAACGCAGGGCGAATGGAAATCGACGTGTCCACAACAAATTACTTGCTACTCTGCTCACCAGTTTATGGGGTTGGACAGCGAGAACTGTGATCTATCGCAGCTCCTCTGATGAAAAACTTTACTCACATAAGCTCTGAGTTTTGCTGACGCAACACCACCAACCCAAACCACACAAAAGGCGTGCAGGGCGGAGAGGTACATACAGGGTGTGGTAAGGAAAAAAACAGTACCCAAAAACTATTTTACCATTATAAACGTGACATATAAAACCTTATAAGACACACTTGTCATTTTGCATGGCAGATAAAATGTGATATTTGTAGTGTAGACATACAGACGTCTGGTTCCTAGTGCTACAATCGTGAACAATTTTGACCCTGTAAATTTCTCTAGAAAGGAGCATTTCACACCAAACCACTCTGAATGATTTTGTTTACATCTGAACTGTTAAATGATAAAAAAGTAATTTTGCAAAATTAGTGGAGTTCCCCTTTAAAACATTAAATTAAGCTGAACAAGGCTGCGGAGAGGCACACGACACTCTGAGAGTTCTACGTGCTCTTCTCTGCTCTCCCAGTGGCAGCACCACAGTATGGTGGCATGCAGTGTTAGGCACAGCGTAACAGGCTGTGTCTATCATGCATTAACATGTTTTCTGTGATCGAATTACATTCAGATTCACTTGACGCCATTAAAGGCCAGGCGTAAACTTCTCTAGGATGCGATCAAGAGATCGGACTGCAATCTCATCACTCAAACCACATTCAGAGGTGGATCTCGACCTTATTCAGCACAAATGTGATCGCAGAGTGTTTTCCACATGCAGTCACATAGGGGGAAACGATGTATGTGTTGATGTGCTGTTTACATGAGAAGGTAAAATCAGATCTAATCTGCTCACACTGGGGACGCATGTTTTTGTAAAGTATGAATGAAATCCAACCAAAGTAAATCCAGATAAAATCCAGACATGAAACATATGTTATTGTAAGGTGTAAACAGCCTCTAAGAGCACCTTACTGCAAACCAATTTTTGATTGAACTAGATGTCAATAAACATGTTGTCTTGTGTTAACTGCTGGTCTGTGGGGCTGTTTGCTTCTGTAGTCTTATAATGGGGCTACACAAGCGGTGCACAAACTGAGACTTTTGTCAGCGCAAGAGGAAAGTTATATTTATTTATTTATTTGTTTGTTTATTTTACCGTTATTTCACCAGGGTAATCAGATTGAGATGAAAAATCTCTTTTGCAAGTCAGCCCTGGACAAGAAGGCAGCACACAAAGCAATCAACAAAGAAACAACACGACCACAACCAACAGGATCAAATCAGGGTCAAAACCAAATTAAAAAGAAGAACAAACAGAACGATACAGCTCTTCAACAATGATCTTAAAACCACTCAAGGAAATAAACAGCTCCAATGTTAAATGCTTCTGCATGTGACATGTGACAACCATTAGAATGTTAATTGTACCAAGACTTGTTTGTTGATATAAAAGCGGACAAATTTATAAAAAACCGAGCAATAATCGCTTTGTAGACAAAGATGATCCAATGCACTGGGACCTGTAGCAGGGGGCAGGGTGACTGAGAGTTTTAAGCCCATGACTCAGGACTGGACACAAAATGTTAATAATATACTTCAGCCATTAGCCTAGATTGGAGCACAAACTTGGTCAAGGCAAAGCAACAGCAAATACACTAAATACATTTTTATTTTTTCATTAATGTAAACTCTAAACTCACTCTGTATATGTGTATATTATATTTATACATATCTTTATTTTTTTTTACCACGTCCTTCTGCACTGTATATGTAAATAATACTGTATTTTGCACTTCTGCTTAGATGCTAACTGCATTTCATTGGCTCTGTACCTGAACTCTGCACAATGACAGTAAAGTTGAATCCAATCTAATCTAATCTAAAGTCATTTTTATTTGGGGGTTAGTTAATTTTGCTGCATTGGGGCCCATACCATCCTAGTAACACCTGTGAAGAAGGCCCTGGTGAACATATGTCCAGCACAAAAGTCTTATTATTGGAATCCTGCATCCAGGTACAATCCAGACATGAAACATATGCTAATGAAAGTAATAAACAGCCCCTGAGAGTACTTTACTGCAAAACAATTGAATTTTAATTAAAAAAAAATATATTAAACGAGATGTCAGTAAACATGTCCTGTGTTAACTTCTGCCAAAATATATAACAAATATTTCTGAAACTTGTGAATTCACTGCTGGCTCCTGTACTTTAGTCTGAAAAGTAGTTTCCTTCTTTAGTTTTACACAGGAACCACAATCATAATCTATCTAATAAAAAAAATCATCACCAGTTTATGTTAATTGCATTCCTAAATCATTACACACTACAGTGATTTATAAATGTGGAGACAGAAATATGAACAGAATTCAGGGGTTAAGATACTGTTTTTAGCTATGTGGCATACCTTCGTCTATTTATATATCTAACAGTATGTCATACAGTGTCAGAGATCACATAAGCAAGTCTGTAGCGAAGCCCGTTGGTTTTAAACGGGCAGATTTTCAGGTCTGAGCTTGGTTCTGAATGTGGCTTGTGTGTGCATGTGTGCGTGTGTGGGAGGGGGCTGTTTCAGGACCCTCTAATTCCTCTGTCTTTAATTCTCTGGCAGTGACCTGAAAGGGGACTGTTAAAGGCGGCGATCGTCTCCTGCCAAAAATACCGCAGTGACGAGCTCCTGTAGGGGGTGAGAGGACAAAAGAGCTCTGCGCTGCACGAGCCTCCGCTGGACCCCAGCTGGCCCACATGTGCACATCCGCAACACAGAGACAACCACTTCAGCATGAACTGGCACGAGCCCGCCCACACACACACACACACTCAACATGTATTTAACATACAGACACGTGAAGTAGTACAAACTGTACAGATACAGAACACATACAGACGCATACCGAGGCAAAGTTAGGGCCCCAGATGAAAGTTGACCAGTAACATAATGCAGCTGTCCACACAAACGCCTTTCAAAGGTGGATGATGAAGTAAGCATTAACATTTTAAAATAACATTTTAACACGAATTGACTGAGTGTGACGTCAACACAATTTTCATTATGGCAGAGGAATGAAGGGAACAGTACAGCAAAGGAGTCATCAAATAACACAAATCTAAATTAATAGCAATAATAAGTACATTTTAGACAAATACACTGCCTAACTACTAATTAACTACATTCAGTTTTACATTTAGGTTCATAAACACAGCATAGATTAATAAACAGGCCAAATCAATTGATGCCAGCTGACTGCTAGCAAATAAACTACAACAACCTCCATGCATTAACTTTCCCATAAAAAACACAGTTCCCTTTTAGAGAAAACTACTGCCCAATTTGAAAGCAGCAGATAGTTGTATGGAAAAGTTTGACCCAGTCCACTGGCATGTTTTCCTGAGTTTCTAAGTGACAATGTTAACACATCATCATCATTACATAAAATCTCCAGATTTTAGTGCACAATTTCTATCTGTCGAGTTTAACATTTTGCAAAAACATAAAAATATGCCATATGTTTTGCACAGACATGTTAAACTCAGCAAATACACAGTAGTTGTGCATTAAAATGTGCAGATTTTACCCCCAAACCTTCGCATACGATTGTAGCTATTGATAGTGCAGGAGGAAAAAGGCCTAAGAGGCTGTTTACACCATACAATAACAGGCATTTTCCGTCATCGGATCACATTTCACTTGACTGCATTAAAAGCCAGGTGTAAACTTCTAAAGGATGCAATTGAGAGATCGGATTGTGATCGGATCAGCCAAACCACATTCAGAGGTGGTCAGAGATGGATCTTGACCACAACACATTCAACTCAAGTGCAAACGGAATGTGTTTTCTGCATGTAGTTATATATGCATCTCACGAGTGCAGACTAGGAAACGGAAGTCATTTTTTTACATGTTGGAAGGTAAAATCAGATCATCTGCTCCCACTGGGGACACATTTCCATAAAATGTGTGAACGGAACCCAGCCAAAGTAAATCCGGATACAATCCAGAGAAAACTTGTGTTAATGTAAGGTGTAAACAGCCTCTTACCGCAAACTGATGAAATTTTCTGACAAAAAAAAAGAATTACATTTATCTTGTGTTGAGTGCTGGTGTGTGGGGTTGTTTGTTTCTTTAGTTGTATAATGGAGGTGTGCAGTGAGCATCCAAACTGTTAAACTTTTTGCCAAATTGCACTTTGACCTGTCACAGAAGGGCAGGGTGACTG